ACATACACGCACGCACGCGCGCGCACACACACACACACACATACACACACACACACACACACACACACACAGAGGGAGACAGAGAGAGCGGGAGTGTGGGAAGTCCAAGAGTACCGTAGGCCTAGATCTACTTATGTATTCATGGGTCAAAGGTTCAGCCAATCGTAGCCCGGTTTACGCCCTCTGTGTAGTCGCATGTAGGTTAACAGTTTCTCTACTTTAACTTCCAAGTCGTGGGTTCAATCGCAGCGGGGTTGTAGTGTGCCCTGAAACCACAAAGCAACCCGACCAGATCGACCCGACCCGATCGACCCGATCCGATCCGACCCGACCCGATCGCGTATGTGGGCACCCCATATAATAATATGCATTACAGTTCCCACAAATACACTCACAGAAAGCTGGCCACACCCTAAATACTCACAAGTTAACAAAATAAAAAAACCAAACACTAATCCCCCCCATTCCTGCCCATTATAGAGCCCCCCCCCCCCTACCCCAAGCACCACAATCCGGACCATCCACCTCTTCTTGTGCGATGCGACCCACGTCACGTCCCTGTATAATACAGCCAGTAAACTGTGTTGAAAAGGAGAAAACAGGAGGGGAAGATTACTCTGGAACACTTGTCCACGAAGCGAGCTTTCTGGAGTCGTGCTCTCTCTCGGAGCTGTGTCAACCGCCGGGTGGGTCTTCTCGGCATCTGGAAGGCAAATTGTGGTCGAGGTTGAAGTTAATGAATGGAATGATGGGGTGGGGAGCCGTGAGGGTGGGGTGGGGGAGCATTACAGAGGGAGGGGGGTGGGATAAAGGGGGAGATGGGAGGACTAAAAAGAGGGTAAGGGAAGATCTGTCAAAGAGAACGGGCTGGGCTAAAAATGGATACGATAGTAAAAGGGGGCTCTCGTGGCCTAGAGGTTAAGGTGTTGGCCTCTCATTCAAAGGTCTCCGGTTCGAATCCGGGTAGTTACAGAAAACATTTGTTCTCTAAAATTATCTCCTTTCATCTCGTTTCCAGCTCTCTTGCAATGTTCTGTCGTCTGCTGTCATCTCCATTTTCTCCCCCCCCCCCCTCACCTTCTTTGCCCGCTTCTCTAGGTTCCTTTTCTGCAGCCTTTCTACTGCTACTCCTTGTCTCCTTACTGCTGCCTTTCATCCACACCCCTGATCTTCTGGTAGGAAAGATCTACACCTAACCTTTTCTGCTAAGGGTGAAAAATCTCGGAGGTTCCAGGTGCAGGTTGCGCACGTTAAAGATCCCTTGGTGGTCTAAAATCTATAAGAGTAGGCTTCGGCCACCACCGGGGCAAAATCCAAATTTCCTACCAACTGAAAATGTTTAACGAGTCCTGCACGCTCATATGACCTTATGCAGTTGCGAGCGCCGTAAAACACTTACAAAAATGAAATCTAGGTGCCCGCTCGTAAAGTAGGAGCAGAACCTGTAATCTGTCAGAGGAGGAGAAGTGTCCTTTGGCACTAGAATCACCTCGGACAAAAAATATACCAGAAAAGACAAACAGAGAGAGAGAGAGAGAGAGAGAGAGAGA